CTGCCCATCTATCCTACTGTTCAGTCCAGAGGCAGTAGAAAGTGCTATTTATCCTATGAACCTGGCCATTTTCCAGCTTCTATTTTCCTAATACTGTCTCAGCACCCAGGATTGTATTAAAGAGGAGTGCATCTCTGATCCATCCTTTCAGTATCTGCTTGGACATTAGGGAGAATTTTTGGACATCAGGAAGCATTTCTTCATTAAAAGGGTTGTCAGCCATCGGAAAAGGCTGCCCAGGGACGTGGTGGAGTTACTATATCTGAAAGTGTTCAAGAAATGAATGGACATGGCACTTAGTGTTGTGGTCTGGTTGACAGTGGAGACCGGTCAGATGTTGGACTCGTTGATCTTGGAGGTCTTTTCAAACCTTTTCCAACTCTATGATTTATGAATTTATTGTTTGCTAATTTTTCTAAAATCTTTCTGAATCCTGTGAGATCATAAGCATCTGGCAGGAGAACCTCTCAGATGCCCTTTACTGACTTTGAAATTACCCTTTCTTAAAGTGCTCTCTCTTCTACCAACCTTGTGCTCCTCTCCTATTAGTTCTTGCATTTCAGGATTTGGTGACCAGAAGTTCTTCAGTCACTTTATCCACTACTTTTGTGTTTCTCTAAACGCTGACATCTTGTCCCTTGGCCTCCTCGTCTCCAGACTAAAAAGTGCAGGCCATTTTAATCACTTCATAAGTCCTTTGATCATTTTTAGCTGCCCTTCCTTGGACTTTCTCTAAATCTATGAAAAGGAGGGGAAAGAAAAAGAGAACAAACCAGAGAAATACGTGTGAAGTATTCATACAGGAGTTCTCACAGAGGCTGGGAAGAAAACATATGGGGCTTTTTTTCTCATTTTATACTCAAATTTGAGAAAAAGAAACACATTGAAACAATGTGGCTTTTAATCAATCTTCATTGCTAAAATAAATTGAGATGACACGTCAGGCTGTGTTAGGAGAAGCAGAAAATACAGGCAGAAGCATAAGTGTGGAGGAATGAAAATTACTGAAAAAGATGCCTGGTGGCATATTATCACAAAGTAACAGCCATGAGTAAAAGGAACAGTAAAGGAAATAGAAAAGGAGAACATTTTCTGCTCCTCTGTATTCTTCCCATTGTGGCCAGGCAATAGCATCTTCTGATGAGATAAATGTTCTTTTTTTCAGCAAACTGTTGTATCAGAACTGTACCTCTTGATAAAAACAATACTAATTGATTTTACTTGCAGTACGTGATTATTCCCTCTTATGGTTTAAGTAAAGCTGAAAGAATGATTGGAACTTGTTAGATAGCAAAAGCAGGGTGTGGAGACAACATCTGAGAGCAAGGATTTGCAGTGGATATAAAGAACATTTTGACCTAGCAAATCTTATAGTAATATTATGAGACACTTGTACAAACTTGTTATGTGTGACACCATTGAGACTATAATTCCACATTATGAAAATAGGAATTGCAGGAGAATAGATGATGTTCAGCTGGACATTAGTCAGTCTCATGCCAGGAGCTTTAAGAAGAAGGGATAATGGCTGCAAAGTTCCCACATGTAGCAAATGTTCAGAAGTTCAAAAGACTGATACCAGGCAGATTTAAATGGGACAGTCCCTGAGATATTTGAGCTGTGTGTCCAAAAAAAAAAAGGGGTTTGTAGTTTCATCCAGTCCTGAATTTTTAAATATTTGGTCTTTGACTTTACAGATACTAAGCATGACTTTGTGTTGTCCAGCCTACAGTGTGCAGTGTGAAATTCTTTGAATCCTTCATCCCTTAATGATGCTTTCGGGAGGATTCAGGACTGTATTGCCCAATCATATATATGAAGTGATGAGACTATGTTGAACTACTAACAACTTTGTCAAGCTTCAAATCTTTTGCTGGCAAACATTGTTTCTTTTAAAGGTCTTACATGAACTGTTCACTACCTTCTTAATATTAAATTCCATTTCAAACAACCCTAATCAGACACCTTTGTGCTGTAACATTGCCTGATATGAAACATAGTCAGCTATTTAATATTTCTCCTTCATTATAAGTGCATAGATTTTACATATGTCTTGATACCTATATACTATATAGCAAGAGAAACAGATTATTTCTTTGTCTGAAAAGGGCAAAGCACTAGCTCTGAGAGACAGGCTGAGTTATGGCTTTATTTGGATTCCAGTCTGTTAGTTCCTCTCCATGAATAACCAATTATGATTCATCTTTTCAAATACCAGTTTGTGGTGGTTTGACAGGAAATGTGTTTTTTGGGATGCTATGGTTGGGCCAATGGATGTTCAGATTTTAATATTGGCATCTAATATGGCCATTAGGACATGGATCCGCCTCTGAGAACACGGGGTTAAAAGCAGAGCTCTCCCCTGGGAGGCTCTCTTGGGTTCCGGTGAGGAAAGAGTTCGGATCTCTCCCCTGTCCAGCTGCTGCTGCTGGGTGGGGGAGGGGAGCCATGCGGCCGGGTGAGGTAGGCCGAGGCTTGGACTGAGAGGGGAGGTGAAGAGGCCCCTGAGGATGGAAGGGTGGGAGAAGTACCAGGAGGCACCGGGCAGCCCCCCCCCCCCGAGAGAGAGAGAGTACAGCCTGTGCTTGAGACTGTGTTACCTTGAAACTTGATAACATGTGCCGGCAGCACGGCTGAGAAGGAGAAGTGGAGGCGGGGGGAGGATGCAGCGAGAAGGTGTCCAGCCACTGTGGGAGTTCCTGAGAAGGCAGAGTCCGAGTTTTTAACCCTTTTTGGACAATGAAAACTTTAGAGAACATTGACCTTTCCTAGAAGAGAGATAGAGTGGAAGATGAGGAAGGAAATGGGCAAGTGTGAGAGAGGTCTGGGCGAGTGAGAAATAGTGGAAGAATAGAGAAGAATCCTAGAGGGAAGAGATGATGGAGTGCCTTTTGCTGGACTCTTTTTGTACAGCCATGGACAGAACCCTGTTCCTTGTGATACAGAGACTGCATCTAGGGGGAGGCAATGCCTCAGAACCAAGAGGGTTCAGTGTTGGTACCCCTCGGCCCCAGGGGCTGAAAAAATATGGGGGGGACAGGTGTCCCAAAGGTGAGACTGTGCTCTTTTTGGAATGGGACAGAGCATCCTTAAAAAGACAACCCTAGAAGCAGCTCTGGTCCATGTTCAGTGGTGAGAGCACTGAACAGGAAAGGAAGAGGTCACGACAGCAGATGTACTCCGGGCGGTGCCACAAATGACACGGAAACACATGAGGCTTCAGCTGTGTTTCCAGGGGAAGCCCATGGTACAAGAAGGACTCCTCTCCTCTTGATGAACTGAGGATTGATTGTCTGAAGGGTGGTTCTGGACCAAGAGTTGGTGATTTGGGGAATAGATGTATTGTATTGGAAATTTGGTGGGGGGAGGAGGAAATGTATTTGTAAGGTTTTCATTTTTCCTGTGTGTGTTCCTTTTTACTTATAGTTGTAGTGTAGTTGATAAAGTTTTGTTTTCTTTATTTCTAAGTGGGAGCCTGCTTTGCTTATTCCTGGTCACATCTCACAGCAGAAACCAGGGAGAGGGTATCCTCATGGGGGCACTGGCATTGTGCCAGTGTCAAACCATGACACAGTTATTTCATGAATCCTGCTGGAGAGCACAGCAGTGTAGCTAAAGTGTTGTCATGGAGCTCTACCCATAAAGTCACTGATGCAGTTATAATATATCTGCACATAATTTAATTCCCTTGTTGCATGTCTCGAAGGTATGCATCTCTGTACTCTCACATTTAAAATCCTCTAATTAGGGATGCTCTTCTTTGTCTCTTGTATATATTTAGAATTCTAAACAGGTGCTGTTTTTAAAGTATTCAAGGGATTTAATTGGGCTCTCTGTTTCATATAGTAAAAGCCAGATTTGGTCTTCAGAGACCTCTAGTTTCTATGTCACAAGATGATTATTTTACTTAGTCATTATGATAACAGGTCCTGAAATTCTGGCATGTCCTGGTTCTGCAATAATTTAATAATTTCCCTTCCACATTTGCTTTTGCAAGATGTGTCTGTTACAGAAAGTGATTTCTGCAGTGTCCTGAAAGAAATGAAAATGTTAGTGTTCTCCAGAATTTGCAGGAGATCTCGTGTTCTCTCAGGAACAAAATATGCCCCACTCTGCTGTTGCTGCAGCCCAGTAGCATATTCCACTGTTAAAACATACAGCATCAGGAAGCAAACTGAGCAACTGAAAATGGGCTCATTGTGAATTAGATGTTTGTGTTAAGGTACCATTTTTTCAAATCTGAAAGGTTAAATACATTTTAGTAAAAAAAATGTATCAGAAATAAAAAAGCAGAAGGCCGCCTTACTAAATAAGTAAAGTTAGGTTAAGAAAAAGAATGTTGTAGGAAAGAAACTTTCACTGCACTGCAACATTAGGAAAACTAAACTGGAGATAGTAAAATAGTTCATAAGCAATCCCAAGTCTAGTTAGTTTAAGCAATACCTACAGTGAAAGGGATTGAAAGAAAATATCTGGGAAAACTTGTTTGCATTTCTCACAAAAAAATTATTGTTTAAAAATCTAATTTATTTATTACAAGCAGTCTGATTAGTGCTTATCTCAAATATGCATGGACCTTAATCCCCTGAGAGCTACAGCAAGATTCACTTTTGTTTCAGTAGGATGACAATCTTACCTAACAAGAGCTAATGGTTTGCTAGCCCAGTGTTCAAAAGTCAGTATCTTAACTCTCTGAAGGCTAAACTTTTTGCCTTAGCTTCCACGTAGCAGACACAGTGTGTGCTGCTGCATGTGGAGTAAGAAGTTAAAACCCAAATATTTCCTTTATTTAATGACAAATATTAATGTTATGAAAAGAACAGCCAGTGAACAGAGAAGACAACTTGTCAAACTTAATCAAATTTTGTACTGAAGTTGATCTCTCATTACTGCTATTTCAAGTGATTTGGTGTTTCTGAAAGAATTTACTGTGATATGTTGCAACAAAATTGCAGATGATTTTATAAGTATTCACTTAGTGGGGTTTACTGGAACAGTACCTTTCTCTTAGCTTTGAGCTGCTCATGATATTCGTTGGATGTGTTGCTTGGTATTTCTCCTCCCCAGAGGGTAATTCCCACCATGGAATAAGTGATGCCCATGACAAGCAGTGGGAAGCAGTAGACCAGCACAATCACAATAACATGATACCTGCGATGAAAAGATATTAAGGTGGTAAGTGCCTTCAGAGGAGCTATACCAATGGAATGGGCTGCTGCAAGTCAAGACTTCTATTTTAGCACAAAGCATGTTTTATATTAACTGACTAGTCCTTGGTGTTTTCACTGTCTTTTTGAAAGTCTGGAATTGCACTGCAAATTTATGTACATTTTAATGCATGTGCTTTGTGGGGTATCTACTGCTGAGCCTGCACTAGTATATTATGAGTGACTATTATTATTGTGATTAGTGACTGCAGAGTAAGGTATGTTTGTTCATAACTAGCTGAGTTGATTTAATTGCACAGCCAAGTATCATGAGGGAAAGCTAGGCATTTGGAGCTCTAGTCTGGACCATAAATGAAAGAGAAAAAGAAGTATTTTAGTGATATATTGATGCAAAAACCCTGATAAGAGTCCTGTCACCCACCATTTTTCATATGGCAGATCTATTGCACACAGACAACACAGATCTGCAGCCTGTGTGCAATATAGTCACCACTGCTGATGTCAGCACTGGGAAAACAAAGATAATTTCTTTTGCCTCCTGCTAGTTCCTGGTTAAATGTCAGCTTCAGATGAAATCCTAGTGAATGATAAGTGAAGGATCCCCAACTGTCACTGAGAGTGACCTTCCTGCCCTAAAGAGATATGTCTGTGACTGGCTTCTAAAGTGATAAAAATTATATGTGACTAGGACGTCTTTCACCTGCCTCATAAAGAGCAAAAGGTCAAATTTGATTCCAGATTGTGTTCAAGGCTGAAAGTCTGTGTAACTATGTTTTTCTTAAATGTCAGTGATGACATGAAAGGACAGATGCCTAAGTAGCCACTTATTCCTAATTCTACCAGAGGGACAAATAGGATATATTTAATTTAATTGACTGATATTCTCATTTTCAGAAAGTGGAAACAGTTACAGGTTATCCAGTTTTCTCTTTTGGACTAATATCTGACATAAGTAATTGTGGTAGTGTAACAGAATGAAGTGGCAAAATCCAGCCCTCCCATGAAGAAATCTAGAGAAAAAAAAACTGGTTAGGTCCTTCTCATTCTCTACAATTACCTGAAAGGAGATTGCAGAGAGGTGGATGTTTGTCTCTTCTCCCTAGTTACAAGAGAAGAAATAGCTTCAGGCTGTACCAGGGAAGGTTTAGACTGAATATCAGGAAAATTTTATTCATGAGAAAGTTTGTCAGGCATTGGTACAGGCTTCCCAGAGAATCAGTTGATTCACCATCCCTGGGTTTTTTGAAAACATGTAGGTGTGGCACTCAGGGACATGGTCTAGTGGCAGACTTGGTAGTGTAGGGTCAGTGGTTGGACTTGATGACCTTCGAAGTCTTTTCCAACTTAAATGATTCTAAGGAGAGACTAGAAAGCTTTGTTTTCCTGGTTAGGATAAAGAGGAAACTTGCTTTGAATTGCATGTTATGTTCCCAGTTCTGACCATCTCTGTCTGTATAGAAGTAGCAATCTTATGTGGAGCAATGATGGTAAAAGTGCAGCACAGGAGGGAGCACACAGATGGGGAAGAGAATAAATTTGTTCTGTTTATCACACATAATGCTTTATCATCCTTACTTAGAAATCTGTCTCTGCATATCTCAGTGATCAAAGCTGTTAGTTATTTTGCATGTAGACTATCTGCACAATGCCAGAGATTTTGCCAAGTCCATTGCAAGTCTCAACACCACCATGCACAAGTTTAAAAGAACAAAAGCTTACTTAAAATGCTGTTTTGGACCACCTGGCCATGCTACATAGCAAAGAGTTCTCCCAGGCATCACCTTGGTTATGGAATATAGGCATTGAGGAAAGGCCAACAGGAATGCAAAAATCCATATGCTCCAAATGACCACCTTGGTAGCAGTTGCAGAGAGCCTAGGTTTCAAGGGATCAATAATGGCCATATATCTGTAAAAGAAAGCAAAAACCTCTGTGTAAGAACTCTTCAGAGATTCACATGTATCTGGAATCAGCCAAAGCTTAGGATAAAAGTGGAGATATTTGTCTTCCTGCAGTTCTAATATTGCTGTGCTCTTTGTGTGGTTCTGCTCCAATGAAGGCAGTGCTGAAAGGAGAAGCAGGTTCATTGGATATTATTTTGCAGCCATGGGACACCCACTTAATCATATGTATTATCAGTAGAGAAACTATTCTGCAAAAAGTTAGACCATTCTGTTACTGTACAGCCTGATGGAAAAGCAGAATGCAGCTGGATCCTCTGTTACTCTGCTAGGTCATACAACATTTATTTCTTATACAAAATTTTACAGCCAAGCTGTCAGGATTATTAGTCATCTGTCCCAAAGCTACAGGAACCTGATAAGTCCACATGCATTTATTTCAGTAGAGAGAGACTGACTTCAGATTGTCTGCCAAAGAACACCAGAGCAACCGATTCATACAGAGACTGAGAGAAGAGCCAGTTTGGAACTGGTAAAAGCACCAAGGGAAATAGACGCATAAAGCAAGAAAACATCTCATTTGCCTTCTCAGTTCCCATGCTCCCAGGAAGGATAGCATTCTTTGTGCTGCCCTGTAATTGCATAGGAAATTCAGGTATGCTGGTAACCTTAGAAGAACATGCCAAAAAAGAATCAAAATGTTTAAGTAATTACAATGTAAAAGTTTAGGAAAAAAAGCAATGAGAAAAAGCATCTAGACCGACAATAATAGAAAAACAAGTCTTATTTTCTGTTTTTTGATCTCTGTTACAGGTGCAAGGAATAAGGGAGACACAGGATTTGTATCCATCATTTTTTGATGAATATCTTGTGTTTGCTGCAATTGAAAGACTCATACTCATTTCAAATAAATGAAGGAGTGATATATTTTAATTGTTATGGTACACATCTAGGTTCTTGGCAGACTTGTCCAAGGTTTTTACGTATAGACATTAACCATGAGACAATAAAAATAATATTTATAAGATAATATTCCTGATAAAAATTTGTGCAAGAATCTTTTGCATCCATATTTACGTGCTGTGGTACACAAATTTCACTCAAGATAGTCTTATTTTTTGGAAATTTTATCGTTGACAGATGAGTAATTACAGAACAGATATTTGTTTTAGCAAAGCTAACTCTGTTTATAGTTAATGATAAAATATGTGATAAATCCAACATTGGTCATAATAGTGCTATGCCTTTTCTAGTAGACGTAACTACCTTAATATCTTAAAACATCTAAGTGCTGTCAGAAACAGGGAGTGATCTAAAACAGCTTCAGTTCTGAAACATCAATTTCCATATCTGGTATTTCAAGCTTGTTAATTTTTTGTTTTTACTGTACTTTGATATTTTTTCTCTGTAGGGTAACAGTTAGTTCCCCTCTCTTTCACATGCCTTTTGGCTTTTTATTTCAGCTAAACTGGTGCATTTGGTATTACATAGTATGAAATAGTTTTGAGTGGTGGGTACCACTTGGTAAAGTCAGGTTTGTAGTCATGAGCCCCATCTTTCAAATTGAGCTGGCTTTTGTGTGGACTGCCAAGCACTGTCCAAATATTTGAAGATCTTTACTTGTAGTAAGTGATAAGCTGTAAGCAAATAATAATTTTCACATGCTTGTGAGACTCTTAAGGCATCTCCTTCTAGCCTGGAATAATTCCTTCAAATTGCTACTTTTCTTCAGATTGCACATTGCTATTATTTTATGTGCTATTGTCAGATTTCTATTATATTCACATGATTCTTATTCTCAGTTATATTACTCTTACTCCCAGTAGATACCAACAGTAGGTCTTGTTGCCTAAGATAAAATTTGGTTGTTTTATCTCCCTGTCTGCCCTTTAAAGACATGGATTGTTTGGGTGAAGTGACTCATACAGCTCTACTGATGGAACTTTTAACAACTGGCTGTCTGAGTAAAATAAGTCAAAGGCCAAGGATCAGATGAAAAGTATGCTATTTATCTTTAGAGTTCAAATCTGAATGATAAGCCAGCAGCCTAGCTATTGCACAAGATTGATTACAAATATGTAGCAGGCAGTCATTCTAACAAGCAAAATGGAAAGGAAGTAGGGGAACTTTGACTATTCCCTCAATAATAGCTTTGTGCTGGATAGATTTAGTGGAGAGTATTGACAGCTCTGTTACAGAGCCTTTGATAACAAATCTAAGTTATTCTACTTTGCCGGTATGCTAACAATTACAGTGTATTCTGTAAGTGTAAGTTCTCTAAGTGGCTTTTCTTAGAAACAAAATTGCTTCATTAACATAGTGAGATATTGCTTTATAACTGCAATTATTATATTCACTCAGATTTGTCATACATGTTTGGTAGCATTTTCTTAGGGAAACCATCATTGCCACAAGTAAAGTAGAAAATGTGGAATGAGCCTTCATTGAAGGTCAAGAACTACCTCCATGTTTGAACAGAATCTGGATGTTATCTCTGTAGCCAAAAGAAGCCTTGAAAAGAAGTGAGTTCTTCCTGCACTGTTAGCTGTCATTTGCAAAGGAGGCACACATGCTCCTGCTTATGATTTTGTTCGCTGTAAATGTTATCTTGCCATTACAGGTATCTAAGGGTAGTTTGTCTATCTCTTTAGGCTCAATCTGAAGTAGTGGTAGCTAAATTTTCAGTTTGCTCTCGCTTTTGATCTCTCTCCATTCAGCAAGGGTGCTTCTAGCAGGAATGAAAGCTCCTGCTAGCACAGGCTAGAAGTTCCATGCTTAGGTGTTGCTCAGAAAATCAGTGAGGTAAGGAGGTTAAGGATAAGATAATGGGTATGTATGATGAGCATATTTCCCCTGTATATTACAATTCCCCATGGCTGACTACTGTCATATTTCATGGTGTAGTTCTGTCATTATGGCTAATTTTTTGCTCTGTATGATATCCTTACATATATTAAGGATGGGAAAATGCTAGCTACAAGGGGGGGAAGAGTAGGTATGCTGTCTGAATTGTGCAGTGAATGGTGCTGAACATGGTGTAGAAATATAAGAAATGTTTGAATAGGCCAGGAGTGAAAGAGAGAATGATGAGATATATAGGATCTAGCAAAAGAACTGAGACTAGGGAGCAGTTTGTTGAATGAAAAAAATAGAAGTGAAAAGAGAAAAATGAGAAACTAGAAGGAGAAGCAAAGAAAGGAGAATTGTAGAATAACAGCATATAGAAATTGTGTTGAGAGAGGAGAGAATAAGAAAGGAAACTGGGGTTCATATAAGAGCAAAAGACATGACAGAAATCAGCCCTAGCATAGGAGAGATTCCAAGGTAAGTAGATGTGGTATAAAACCAGAACATTTTGGCAGTGTGGCTTGGTGGCAAGCCCTTTTGCCTCTGCAGGTGTATGGGAGAGAACTCCCAGAGAGTTTTTCTCTCTGTAATCAGCCAACCATAAACACTGTGCGAGGGGAACAGCAGGACTTCTTGGGTGCTCCAATGTCATCTGTCTTACAGACTGTTCTGCTACTCCACAGTTCTTTCAAGTAGTCTGAGCTTCATCATTGAATCACAGAGTGAGTTGGAAGTGACTCATGAGAGTCATTGAGTCCAACTCCTGACCCTGCACAAGACCATCCCCAAGAATCCCACTGTGTGCCTGAGAGCATTATCCAGCTGAGACAGGCTGTGCTGTGCCCACTTCCCTGGGGAGCCTGTTCCAGTGCCCAACCACCCTCGCAGTGAAGAACCTTTTCCTGATACCTGACCTAAACCTCCCCTGACTCAGCTTCATGCTGTTCCTCCAGGTCCTGTCACTGGTCAGGAGGGTGAAGAAACCACTGCCTGTCCTGCTTTCCCTTGTGAGGATGCTAAAGTCTGCAGTGAGGTCTTCCCTCAGTTTCCTCCTCTCTAGGCTGAGCAATCTAAGTGACCTCAGCCACTCCTCATAAGGCTTCCCCTCCAGACCCTTCACCAGCCTTGTGGTCCTCCTCTAGATGCTCTCTAGACATATTAATGCCTTTATGTTATAGTGCCCAAAATTTATGCACTTGTTCTGAAGCCAGTGACAAATGCAGAAGCCCTCATAGGTTCACCATGTTCTGTGATATTTATACGCAGACCTTGTACCTCTCCACACCTACTCTCCAGGGACTGTAAAAGATGGTAGGCATTTGAGCTGAAGAAGGATTTCTAATGCTACAAGCAACTGAAGCCTTGTTACACCACTGAAAAGCATTCTGGAGCCACACAGACATTTTTTCAGTGGGGTGCTGTGACAATTTGCTTTGCGGTCTTTGGACAGTTACTGTTCAGTCTGTCACCAGGCTTGAACAGTGTGATTCCCTGCTGAATAAAGGACTCTGAACTCCCACTGAGGTGGTTTGATTTAAAGATGGGACTTGTAATGATTTCTCACTCCAGTGGGAGCTGCTGATAGTGCCACAGATAGCTTATTCTACCCAACAAAGCAGGGATGTAAAATCTATATCACTGAAAGGACTGAACTCATTATACTCATTTATCACAACAAGCAAAAATTATTATTACCCCACCCAACAAAACATTTATACTTGGAAATAATTATAAGATGGAATATGCATATTTAGAAATGCAGGGATGGAAATATGTGCAGGTAGAGTTCAAGCCAGCACTTCCAAGAATGTGGATTGCTCAACAACTGCACCATGTTCTTCCATGTATGACTCCAAAGCATTTTAGGTAGCACTTCAGTTTCATATGCACATCATTAGCACATGATTTTTTTTTTTTTTTTGGCCATATGACATCCCACTGTCATCACTCCTCTTACAGCTTTATCTTGTGTTAATCTTTGTCCCTAATTGATTACTACTGAAGTCAGCAAGAGTCTTTCCACTGAGCTTAATGAGAAATCACTCAGGCTTCATGATACAATGGCTGGTGCATCATGGTGTACTTGCTGCTGCACTCTTCGTAGCTGCTGGGGTCAGAACAGATCCAGTTCCCTTCTGAACTGCTCTGTTTGTCTATAGT